ACAGGCCTAATTGAAAACTAACTAACAAGGATCAAAGTGTATGCTAAGCTCTGCTGGTGAGGTGCTATCTGCAAATCTATCTGACATGCCTTTCACCTCCAAGTCACTTTGCTAACCTGGCACAGTGGAAGATGGCTCCAAGGAAGAACGTCCAATTTCCTGATTCTCTCAGCCAAGATAAGCGAGCGAAGTTGGTTTGATCTAGTGGCAAGCTCTAGGGAGCTTACCCTTTACAGTTGGAAAACCAGAGAAAGACCTAGATGCTTTATTGCAAAAATGGGATTTTGAAATCATGTATGATCTTATTTTATAGTCAAGAAAATTAAAGCACCAGAAGTTTAGTGACCTTCCCCAAATCATACAGGTAGTAGCAAGTTTATTATTAATGGCCCATGTGGAGAATTATTGAAATGTGAAGCAGTTTAGTATTACTCATAGAATCTAACTTTATTTAGCCAGTAGCTACTTTAGAGCAATGGTGTATAATTTTCTTCATTCATTAACTGAAATAATGCCATTTTAAAAATGAACCACTTTGACTTAGACAAAAATCATAAACAAAATGGATTTGGTATTTTAAAATAATCACTTCTATTTGCCTGATTACCCTAATTGAGTAATTTTAAGTAGAATTTCTCATAGTCCAGTGTAGTATTCTTGGAATCAGTTTAAGTTACACACACAAAAGACAAGTGAATAAATAACCCAATTCTGGAAAAGGATGTGATGGAAATGAAAATCTCTCACAAGTTTATACATTCATACCTAAGAAGAACAAGAGTCAAGTCTGAGCTTGCCTTATATGCTCCAAAAACTGGGCAAGATATGGATTAGCAACTATATAATAATATTATCAAAAAAGAATTCTTTCCTTATTCTAAATTTTAAATTTTACTTAAATTCTAAATGTTATTTATGATAATCAAGTTTTAACTTTATGATGAAACTACTTTTTAAAAGCACATTTTAAAAATTAGTGGATATGTAATATTTATAGCCAAAAAATAAATAAAAAACCAATATGCTAAATTGCTGATAATTTTCTTTTTAATTGTGATCTCTCTCTCTCACTCTCACACACACACACACACACACACACACACACACACACACACACACACACACACACACACACACGCACACGCTCTGTAGGCTACTGGACGGAGGTAGGAATCCAGCATCAAGAGTCTTCATCTGGTGTCTGTAAGCCGCTGGTAAGACGTGAAAAAAGCATGGTTTGTCCTTCCCTCTCTCAAGTCATTTATCTCCCAATGACTCTGCTCTAGCAGTTACAACTTTCCACAAGTTTTTCATGTCTTTCCCCCACTACAGGATAACACAAAACTATATACATTGTCATCAAATACAAATAGTGCAGAAAGCATGGCATTGCTTTCACAAATTATAGACAGAGAATGAGAGCTAAAATGCATGGGATAATTAGCTTAAGAACTGACAGCACAAGGTAAGACTGTTAACTAATTAGGTTTCTATTTGTAAATGACTCGTGAAATTAGCCTGAATATTTCAGATTGTTCCTAGCATGTAATTAAATGAAAAAATGAGCAACATTTGAGCAACTGTTTCGTTCAAGTTCAGAGGGGGAAAATGAATAGGTTGCAGCAGCAGGGAGACCAGGAGCAAGTGTGCTAGTGAGTTTTTAATCCACGTGACACACTAAGTGGGAAGTGGAATCCTCAGTTAAGGAAATGCCTCCGTGGTGGTGTGAGAGAAATCCACCCCACAGGCTCTTACGGAGTGGCGTTATTGGACTTTGTCGGAGGAAGTGTGTCAGGTGGTGGGCTTTCAGGTTTCAAATGCTCAAGCCAGTGTCACTCTCTTCCTGCTGCCTGCCGATTTACAAGTATAAACTCTCTGCTTCACAAGTAGAACTCTCTGCTTCTTCTCTAGCACCGTGTCTGTCTGGGTGCTGACATACTTCCCTCCATGACAATAACGGAGTGAACCTCTGAACTGAAAGCCAGCCCCAATTAAATGCTTTCCTTCATAAGAATTGTTGTGGTCATGGTGTCTCTTCACAGAAATAGAATCCTAAGGAGTAAGACAGCCTCCATCTTGGCCTGGTTAATGATCCAGCTATTGTGGCAGTACCACCCTGGTCTAGGTGATCCTGTTTGTATAAGAAAGCAAACTGGGCAAGCCATGGAGAGAAAGCCAGCAAGTAGCATTCTTCCATGGGCTCTGCTTCAGTTAATGTTTCCAGGTTCGAGCCTTGAGTCTCTGTCCTGACTTCCCTTAGAGATGGGCTGTAACCTGTGAGTCAAATAAACCCTCCAGTCCCCAAAGTTGTTTTTGGTCAATGTTTTGTCACAGCAACAGAAAAGCAAACTAGCACAGGAGGAGATGAGGTTCCAAGTGGGTTTTATAGACATAATAGCATGCATTGGCAACAAACAGACAAAAAGAATTTGATGAGGCAGCAAAGAGACATGTGAGAAACCACTGTCAAACAGAATGAAGGGCACTCAGTGATGAGAAATGGTGACCAGAGAAGACAAGCCAGCCCTAATAAAACTAGAGTATAACCTTGTAAACAGAGGCCTCGGGTATGGGCAAAAAACTCACAATAGGCTGCTGCACAGCCTGTATCCCAGCACACCGAACCCCTGGGGCACCTGAACTGCTCCTAAA